ACTAAACAGTTTTCTTATCGGTTTTTAAATTTTTATTTTCTATTTCCAAACAAGAAATATGTTTTTGAAAATCATTTTTCTGAAAAGAAAATGAGTTTTTCAATTTTTGTTCCATTTTCTTAGCAAAAGTCAAGCATTGTCTAAGTTTAATGGAATCATAAATTGAAAAATTCTTTTGTTTGGTTGGTTTTTCAAAAATGAAATTACCAACTTCGGGATGGTCCAACGAGTTGTTGTCACCTTCAACATAACTGACCATCGCTTGTACTGCTTCTTCAAGGTTATCAAATCCTTGAAATTTGTTGTGTTTGTCATTACCTATCGCCTTCAATAGAGAGGGATATGATAGGTAGACGTCACGCTTGTCTCCAGTAAAAAGGCAGTAGGCCTCTTTCTTGGGTTTTTTAAAAACAGTGGCTAACATTTTTGCAAAGTAATAATTTAATGCATTAATAGCATTAAACTTTTTTGTTGTACTACAAGCTCGATGAAGAGCATCAAGTAGTACCTTTTGTTCCCTTGAAACGGGACAGTTCCTCAGACATTTGAATTGTTGAGGGTGACCTTCTGGTAAAATTGGAAGATGTTGTGTTCCAAACCTTAGAGTATCAAACTCTTCAGTTGTTGAGGCTGGTAACTTGCCTTTGTTGATTGGGTTTGCCATATTAGTACCTGTATAACTGAAGGAACTCTGCAATACCCTTTTGTTAGTTTCCTTATCAAAAGAAGAAATTTTTGTGTTCATTAGACAATATCCAAAATCATCTAATATATTTCCTAATTCATTATATTTATTATCCAGTTGGAAATCATTTTCATTTGGATAAAGGTGAATGAATTCATTATTTGTGAAATCATTTATTAGGCCATAATCTTTATGGCTTTTGTCTAAATTAATTTCATCATTGTATTCTGTAATACTAATAACTGATAGTATTTCAGAATCAGTAGAAACATCTTCATCTATAGGAAGAAGGTTCCTATGGCAGGATTTTATCAATTCTGCCTCTCTAGTGTAAAGGTTTGCAATGTTAGGACAATCTCTTGAGAAATGTCCTGGTTGGTTACAAGCGAAACATTTCAAAGTTTGCTTGTATGTTTTGTTGTCTCTAAATTTTCTGACGTGTCTATCAGGATTTAGAGTTGGTTTTCTAGAATTTGAAGACCTAATCGTGTAGGTCTTTCTAGAAGTTGTGGGTTTTTGTCTTTCAAAATAAGAATTCTAATTGTAATTTTTATTATACCTAGGTTTATTTCTATAGGCCTTCTGTAAGGCTTATTTTGATTATACTACTAAGGAGTATAAATTTATTTGCAAATTCCAGCATCGGAATTTTTCAATTGCTTTTGTATAGCAATATGTGTACATGTATCTTCCATCACTTTCATGATGTGTTGTATATGTATAGAGAGGTTGTTCAACATGGGAGTAACATCTTCATTTTTCCAGGATTCTCGGATCTTTTGGCCAAGTTTTCCTGGTAGTTTGAGAAACATCTTTTCTCCAATGCTTAAATAATGGAAACATCCAGCTATAGATGCGTACATGAGATAATCTTGTAAAAATTCTTTTATTTTTCCAAAGTATGTTATGGAAAGTCTTTCTAAATGACCCAGGTCTGAGTGTGTTCCCATCATTAGCAGACTGGGAAGTAAGCAATTTTTGTAACAAAGAACAAAAATTGTATATGTTAGGACCTGGTTCGATCACAAACATATTTAAGTCGGCTAGGTAATTTTTCTTAAAAGATTCCCAGCAAGCTCTAGCTATATCACCTAAATAGGTTTCAGCTTTAGCAATCATTTCTTGAGAAGAGTGAACATTTTTCTCATGATGTATGTCATAATCACGGATTACAGCTGCAGTCCATTGCTCAATGTATGTTGGCAATAGTTGAGGATCTATTCCTCCTATATTTAGAAGAAGATTAGGCATTTGGAAATTTGGCTCTATAGGAAGCCTTTTGCCTAATGTTGTGTATTGGTTGTCACTAAAGACAACATTTTGTGGTGATACTCTAGGTGGAAAACTGGTAGAGTAACTGTGTATACCATCAGGTAGTAACTGATAGTTGTGAGGTTGATAACTATTTGATCTCTCATTTGTATTTACTAACCCTAATGTTGATAAGGGTTCTGAAATTATGGATACATTATCTAATATATCATTATTTGTGTTGTCTAACTTAGACAATGGTTCTTCGATTAAAGATACATTATCCAGTGTATCTTTATCATTTGTGTCTTCTAACCCTAATATGGGTAAGGGTTCTAAGACTTTAGATACATTATCTAATATATCATTTTCTTTATCTAAAAAATATTCATCTAAGAATGCATTTATAATATCGTCCATCTTATTAATGACATCATCTTCTTCATTAATTTGGACATTTTCATTTGTATGAGACAAAGAATTTGAAGTTCCTTGTCTAAACATGGCTATGATAGCCTGATGATGATTCCATTCCTCATCAGTCATGTCATCATCTTCATCTTCTTCACATTCTACAATATTCATCATAGAAATGTTTTCATTATCAGGAATAGCAGAAGTGTTATGCCTATTTTCCACTGGCCTATCTTGTTCTAGGTCTAGTCGTGGAATATTTCTATAGTCTGTGAAACTTAGACTAAGTCCTCTAGATCTGTTATGCAAAATAGCAGATGAAGGGGCAGTGACGGGAGTATCTTCTTCCCTAGGTAAGTGTGTTTGCCACAAATGTCCTTCATTTCTCCTTGTGAAGGCTTGAGCTGGCAAAAATTGTGTACCATGAGAGCTGATAGCTTCCTCTAATGGTCTTGTATCAATCCTATACATGGAAGAAATATGGTTACTAATTCTTCCGATGAAGGTGATATCTAAGTGTAGATTTTCGCCCACCCAATTGGGTCCAAATCCTACTGTTTGTACTTCTAGACTTATGTGCTTAACAAAATCTGGAAGTGTAATTGTAAAGTTTGGTGTTAGGTATATCAATGAAAAAGGTTTATTTAAATCTACCTCTAAAATACCTATCACACTTTGTGAATCATTATTTTGAAATATAGAGTCATGTAGAACTATCAAAGCTCTAGCTCCAATCATATGCCTAGCCAAGGATATAACTCCAATGGTAATCAATCCCATATGGACATATCTTCCTTGTTGGCCTAGTAGTTGCCTACCAGTTTGTTGAGATATCAGAGGAATTATCTCATAAGTGTTATCTGGAAGATGAAAATCTTCTATTCTTCTATATCGGTAAAGGCTAGTCCTTTCTGAACTTAACCATCCGATATTGTATAACCGCCTAGGATTCAAGGAATCTATCCTTGTATTTGATCCTATCTCGGTATTTTGTTGTATATCTACTAAGTCTTCCAAACGTCTGACATTAGTAGATCTTTGCCTATTTAGGATATAGATGAGTAATTTAAATGTCAACTAAACATTTTTCTTTTAAAAATAAATCATGATAAAATTAAAACTAAATCCAAAAAAAAAAATATATATATATATATATATATATATACACTGTCACATAAAACAATAAAATTGGCCCATTTTGTTTTTTTCATAAGAGAACAATATCAATACTTAGATAATGTAAAAGTTATGTTTCTTAGAAACAATACACGTTTTATTATGTTAAAAAAATCCAAATATTTTTAAGTATTATTACACATAAATTATGACTGGTCTTATCTTTATAAGTTGATATAATGAACCTTTATATTTTTATTATTTTAATAAAAAGTATTTAACAAATTATTTGTAATGGGAGTTGTTTAGGAATAAAAATAAATATTTTATTATAGGTCTCACGTCTGAGTTGTTTAAAAATGGAGAAAGTTACTTAAATTTGTAAGAAAGTTGCTTAGATAAGCAATTCTAACCATGTTTTAAGCAACTCAACTCTAAAACCTATAATAAAATATTTAATTTTATTCTTAAACAATTCTAGTTAAACACTCCCTTTGAAAGATGTCTTAGAGAAATGAATAACGAAATAACTTTATTGTTATCTCGTTGATTTTTTTTATTTTCTTTATAAAATATTATAATAGGGATTGTATATTAATTTATTAATATTTGATATAATTGTAAAACATTTTAGTTTTAAGTTGTTTATTATAATCAGGTGGTAAATTTTTATTTTATATAAAAGAATGAAATTTCAGTTTATATTTTTTAAGTTGGTATTTAAGCGGTGATTATCATTTAGATTTTGATTTTTTTTGAAACCTTCAAATAGAAGAAAGAAAAATTGATATATTTAGAATGAAATTAGTTCATCATGATGTTCAAACTTAAAAAGTTTTAATATTCTTTCAAAAGCATCTTATAATGGGGAAAAGAGATGCAAATGTCAAAGTTGAAAAAATAAGTCTTCATTATCAAACAAAATGAAAGACATTTGTACTATAAGCAATTATGAATTATCTTGATAAGATTATTAATAATTTTAATGATATATGGATTAATACTATAGTTACAAATCAAATGATATTAAAATTTGATATATTTAGAATGAAATTAGTTCATCATGTTGTTCAAACTTAAGAAGTTTTAATATTTTTTCAAAAGCATGTTATAATGGGGAAAAGAGATGCAAATGTCAAAGTTGAAAAAGTATATTTTCATTATCAAACAAAATGAAAAACATTTGTACTAGAAGTAATTATGAAATATATTGGTAAGATTATTAATATTTTTAATGATATATGGATTATTAATACTATAGTTACAAATCAAATGATATTTGTTAAGTATTTCCATGTTACTCTTTCTTTAGTTGTCGTTTCTCGGATTTATTCTTTTCTTCGCAATGTTGTGGAGTTTGGCTAGGGATGCATGGGGTATGTTTCCGTGTAGTTGACAATGTCAACATTTCTTAACATAGTCCATGCAATCTTCTTGGATTGTCCACCAGAAGTACCCGACCCCGAATATTCAAACTGTCATTGTTCTCCCTCCCGAAGTTAATCCATAGATCCCATTATGTAACTCATTCAAGATGTACTTGGTTTATGTGGGAGATAGACACTTCTGCGTGGGGGTGGTGAACTCGCAACGGTATAGGTCAACTCCGATAAGGACATATTTTGGTGATATCCTTTTGATTTTTTGGGCTTTCTTGGCAACATCTGGTAATGCTCCAGTTTTCATATAGGCTACTATGGGTGTCATCCAACTTGTCTCGATGTTGACTGCAAGACATTCATTTTCTACCGTTATGGATACTACCATATGTTGAATGATGATTTTGTGTGCCCCCTTCTTCTTCTTCATGCTAGTGAGTTTGGAAAATAGGTAGGCGTGCGGTTATCCTCACGATGAATATGTATGATCTTACTCTTTTCAAACCCTGTTAGGAGAATTCTGTCAAACATTGGGCCTTCATGGATCCTCTTGGTTTGTAGGCAATATTAAACTTTGATAGTTCTATTGACCATGTAATCATCCTTCCAGTGAGGTCCGACTTTTTCAATATCTTGGAGATGGGGTAATCAGTGTGAACTATGATATGATGACTCTAGAAGTATTATCGTAGTCTTTTTACGATTGTTAGGACGACCAATGTCGCTTTCTCGATCAGTTGGTATCGTGTTTTTGGATCTTGTAATATGTGACTAACATAGTATATTAGCTTTAATTGGTTCTGGTTGTCCTGAACTAGTACAATGCTTACCGTTGCTTCGCTTACTGCCAAATATACCAACAAAGGGACCCTCGGGGCAAGCTTGTGGAGTATTGGTGGGGTCAATAAGAAGTTCTTGATGTTTGCAAATATTCATTCACACTGCTTGGTCCATTCGAACTTCTTTGATTTCTTCAGTAACTGTATGATGGGTTTTGTCCTTTCAACCAACTTCAGTATGAAACGGGAAAGGGATGTGAACCTCCCAATCAACCATTGTATCTCTTTGACCATTTTGGGGCTTCGCATTTGGATTATTGCACTTTGTAGCAATAGTTGTTGTAGGGTGTTACAAACGTTGTCTTTTCAACATCTCCTTGATACATCCTGATTTGGTTGTATCCAGAGTACGCATAGAGGAAAGTTAACACCTTGTGTTCAGCTGCACCATTGACAAGTAGGTCGATGTTGGGTAAGGGGTATGTATCCTTAGAGAATATTTTGTTCAGATAGTCATTTCTCATTTGGTTTCTTTACCAATTGTTAAATGGTAAAAAGTTGATATAAGTATGCCTTGAATTGTTATGAAACCACTTAACTTATGTTAATTCTAATATATTTTTCTCCCAATATAGGATGAATTCGAGAATACCTTGATACAAGAGTAAGGAGCATAATTGGAGTAAAATTGAAAGAAAGAAGAGCGCTTAAGCGAATGAATGATGCGAGGCCCGACCCAAATTCTCTTATAAAAAGATAAGTTGTGTTTTGAGAAAGAAAAATAGTCTTGGAAGAGAAGAGGCACGACTACTGTTAGGGTTTTGTCTAATCTTCATCAATTCTTCACTTCTTCATCAATTGGAGCATTGTAATGGCCAACATGAGTGACTAACTTCATTCTCTTAGGATTCGGTGCACTTCCTTTGAACTCTTTTGTATCATGGTGATATTTTGAGATATTAATCTATGCTTTGATGTTGTTATTCTTATCCTTTATATTTTGGAATGATTTATTCTTGATTGTTTGAGGTATGATTGGAAAATATATCTTGAACCCTAGATCACGGTAAGAATATTTGTTACGTTAATTGTCAGGAATGAAATGAATGTATCAATTGCTTAACACCTAACCCTAATGCTAGAAAATCTGTTAATTGTGTGAGGAATCAACATTTATTAGGTTTTCTTATGAATTTCATGTGTGAGGAATCAACATGGATGATTTGAGTAGGTGGCATCAACATTGTTAGGTTAATTGACGTTCTTAATTGACATAGTCATTACAAAAGAGGAATAAGGAAGGAAGTCAATCCTAAGTACCTTTAATTGATATTTTCTTAACAATTTACAGTTCTTTGTCATTTAAATTCAATTCAACTCTTATTTGCAAAACCCAATCTGTTTAATATACTTAGTAAGCATAATTGGGAATTTTCATTGAAACTGTTCCTCGTGGGATCGACTTTTAATTTATCGAAATACTATACTGCGATTGATAATTTTGGTATGCTTGTTAATAATTCAACACAAATACTATACTAATGAGCCAAGTGGTGTACTAGATTTTCGTTATGAAACCAACATAAAGAATCTTACGAACCTCGTCTTCGACTATCCATCTTCTTTCTTCGACTATCCATCTTCTTTCTTCTCCAAGTTTCCTTTATTTTTGCACGACTGGACATGCGTCCTTGCAAACTGAGAGCTTATGGCACATTACTCTCAGGTCTATGTTTGGCATATCAGCGGTTATCCATTCAAAGAGGTCTACATTCGCTTTCAAGAACTTGGTGACAAGATCTCGTTCATTGCTAGTGAAGGAGGATCTTATCTTAGTGTCTTGGCCTTGTTGCCCCAACTAGAAGGGGATATCCTTTGGACAAACCCAACAGTCATCATTTACTCGAGGGTCGAGGTCCATTATCAACGTCGAGTGGATGCCCTCTTTTTTTATGTGCATCGTGGTACTAGCCATCACTTTGAGGCTTAAGTCGTAGCATTCACGAGCTGCTTGTTGATTAACTTGTTTGGTTACTATCTCACCGGTTGAGGATGAGAACTTCATTATTAAGTGTGGGCTTGAGATAATTGTTCTTAAGGCATTATGGGTAGGAATGGTAAAACGGGTTAAGCTTGGCGGGCTAGCTCATTGACCCATTTTTAAAAAGTATTTATATATTAATAAAAATAAAAATGATTATAATTAAAAATATTATATCTTTTTTGTGTTATATGTATTGAAATATGTAAATATATTATAATATTATAATTTAAATTATAAAAATTAATAAATTAAGTTTAAATTGTTGATTATAATTAATTATTTTAACACATAAATATAATAATTTTTTCAATTTATCTAATAAAAATACTAATTAATAAATAAACACTTGAACATTATTTATATAATTAAAAATATATTTAAATAATACATATAAAAAAAAATTTGCGAACAAGGTCCGTAGCCCATCATGACTATGACGAGCCAACTTGCCCCGCCCCGTATTTAATGGACTAACCCACTTTATCATCCTTAATTAAGAAATGGTATCTCGAGGAGGATGTTATAGAGAGCATTCACAACCACTATAAGGTATCGCACCTTCATCGTTTTATATTTGATACTACCTTCACCAAACTTTGTGAAGAGGTCAATGTACCCCTTTGTGTTTACTCTTTCTCCCGAGAACCCAACGACCTAGTCACCATAAGGTTGGATTGCATCCTCGACTAGCTTTCTAGTATAGTATGTCCACATAACTCCCTTGATCCACCAATGTTTTCATCACCACGAAGTTTGCAACCTCCTTCGTAATTACCATGAGATTATCTTGGCAGGGATCGATGGCTTGGAAGTCATCATTTGTGAATGTTATTGGCAACATTTTTCTTCTTTGCCCAACGATTTTTATATTGATTGATTGGACTAGTTTCAGATGTCTTTTTTTTTTGCCGATGTAGTAGGTCATCCCCCTATAAAACCTTTGACAATAGTTTTGATTATGCCCCTCAACTGGTGCAGACTCGTTTCCTCCTCTTAACTAGCGGTTCTCAATTATTGTTGGTTGGTATTCCTCTCTCGGCGAATGTCTCCTTGATCGATTGTTACATTCCTTCACGAATTTGCGCAAGTGCCTGACTTGTATCAGTTCTTTTATTTTGTCTTTTAATGCCAAACATTCATCCATGATGTGACTATAGTTCTGATGGTATCTACAATGTTTGTTGTGGTCAGCGTTCGATGGTGTGGGGACCTTTCTTGTTGGCGGGATGAGATTGGTGTTTAGGGCTTCTTCTAACACCCTTGTGTGGTTAGTGTTCAAGGGTGTGTACTGCAAGAATTGTGGTTTGCGGACTTCCCTTAGCCTAATTTGGATGAGTCTCTTTCCTCTCTCCTTCTCAGTGTTTTTTGTTTCTAGACCCGACTCAGCACACACTTGGTTTCTAAACTCCTCTAGGTCTTCTAATTGTATGAACTTCACAGCTCAACTTTTTAATTCATCTAAGTCTATTCTTGGCTTCTTACATAAACTGTCTAAGAAAGTCTCAGGTCGCAAGGTCGTCACCACATGATGTAAGGCCACCTCGAGTTTAGATTCCTGATGTTCAATGTGGCCTTTCCAAATATTTTTATAAAAGCTTTCAATGATTCTCCTTGGTCCTGTCGTATGTTGACCAACGCGATTAACGTGAGGTGATGAGACCAGCTTGTGGTGAATTGTGTGTCAAATTTCGTCACCAATGTGCTGAAACAATTGATGGTAATCAACGGGAGTATTGTGAAACAGCTTAGTGTTACACCTTTAAGTGAGGTTGGAAAAACTCAACAGAATATGACAAAATGTTGCATCCTCCGTGGTGTATAGGTGACTTGCGTTACGTAGATGTCAACGTGCTTGTCCGGGTCGGTTGACTCATCATACCTTTCCAACGTTAAATTCTTCCAAGTTGTGGGCTGGGGGGTTTCGATGATTCCATCCACGAATGGATATTTGAGTTGTCCCCCGACTTGTGAAAATAAGTGCACAAATGTGCAGGAGGTCATCCACGAGTTAATTTCGACCTCAAATGACCTAATGGGGGTGTGGTGGGATTATTTCTGGTTGCCCTCAGTTTGAGCCGCTTCCAGTATGTGGTGGGAGGTGCCCTCTTGTTCATTCAACTTTTGTATGATATGAGTGTTTTCTCACTTTAGGGTTTTGACTTTCTCTACGCTCTTCTTTTTTAAGTAATCCAATTCTCTCCTTAGTTCGACAATGAGCATGAGCTCACTCACACGATCTTCTCTTCCAAGTGATGGGAACCCTCGCTACTCGTTATGTTTCTTGTAGTCACTAGGGCGATCAAAATGAGTGGTACAGTCTGGCCTGGTCCTACGAGCTATGTAAAAAGAATCTAATGGTCCAGTCTGACCTAAAACGGGTAAATTTTTTTGACCTAGTCTATTCCTATGTTAGGTCAATGGGCTAACGGGTTATTTTTTTGCTAATTAAAACTATTTATTTTATTTATATAATGTTTTTTTAATTTTGTTTGAAAAAATATGTTATTCATTTATTTATTTCAAATTAACTCATAATCTTTTCGAGACAAAATAAAATCATAAAAATGAGTTGTTACGGGCATGTAACCTTCAGGAGTTATTTATAGTTGTTCATATATAAGAAGTTAA